AACATACTGCTAGTGCGTTCCGTTTTCTCTTTTTGCAGTAATGAAAAAGTGCATAAAGTTAAAACGGAACGCTATCTACAGTACACTTCTGTGACGTCATACCACTAGTACTGGCAGTACATTTCGGAACGCAGCCTATATATGCGAAAATGAAGAATTTTAGGAGTGGGTGGAAATTCAATCAGCAATATCTTAATACTGAGTGAACCGATCGGCTTCATTCTACTCTCAATCGATTCAGGTAAAAAAGCAGAAAAGAAAAGTATTAATGTGTTTTTCTCGTCCGAGTCTTGTTTTTGAAGCTGTTTACAGAAAACGTTTTGACCTCTTATTTTTCACCTTTTCTGGCTAGATAGGCAAGTGGTGGGGAAATTCGTTCGGCCCAGTGGTGGGAAAATTCGTCTAGCTCAGTGGTGGGGAAATGTCCGTTTAAATGTGGTATCCAATAGATGGCAATATACATGCGTTTACACGACGCGTGATAAGAAAGAAATCTGTTCTCTTGTATGAGGAAATATATGAGAAGAAGAAAAAGGAAAAGTGAGAGAGAATGAGAAAAAGAAAGAGTAAGAGAAAATAAGAAAGAGATTAGGAGAGAGAATTAAAGAGAGTAGAAGAGAACGAGCAAGAGAGAAAGAGAAAATGAGAAAAAGCGAGAAAGCAAAAGAGAGAGAGAGAGAGCGCAACAAGAGTAATTGCAAACATCATTTTGACAAATATACGCTTGTATTGGACATATTTTAACGCAGTCGGAGTTTTGTGATAATAATTGTGATAACAATTGTGAATAAACAATAAAACGATAAATTTTACTACGCAATACGTAAAAAATGCATTTGAACGTCCGAGATGTTAGTCGGGAAAACAAGATCACGTAGCAAGGCTGGTCGTGATTTATTCGATTCTACACATTTCAAATTTGTCATATTGTCTAACAATAAGTAATAGTATTTGTTTCTCGGTTCTGCAATTTTACTAAAATTGTAGTTTTGTTTAGCCGCGAGTATAATGTTTGCGAAAATCATGTGGAAAAAAGAGAAATAGAATGAAAATTATTAAATAGTAAAAGTTGCTACGTAATGTGTAAAATATGCGTATATTGTTACGAAAAAAACTTATCTTTTTAAAAAAAGGTAAAAAAGTGCGCCAAGTACACGCACAACACGTAATACTTTAAATTAAAATTCTAAACTCAAACACTAGTATTTATAAAAAAATGTATTTTATTTTTAATATAAAACATCCTTTTTCTACAAAACCTACGTTACAAAAAAAGTGATATGAAAAAGTAGCATCAAGTAGACTTGTGTACATTTAAAGAAATTATTAGAAACATTATAAAAAAATAAAAAGTATAAAATTATTATATATGTATCAATAGTTAGACTTTGCCTTTTGTGAAAAGTCGAAATATGAAAAATAATCAAGGCAAAAAAACTTGGCGTGGCTGCACCAAAACTATAGCAGACATTTTTATCTGTGCGAGCTATTTTTAATTTATTGTATGTAACATATGTAACTATAAAAACTAAACCAATCAGCATTGCACTAAAATTCTTACATTAAGCAAATGCAAACTTGATAAGATTTTCACTTTTCCTCGTCTGGTTTAGAGAGAACAATGCTATTTCTCTGAAAGTATATAAAATAAATCTTTTATTTTTACCTTGACGATTAAGTCTATGTGTACATGAAAACAAAAACTTTGTTATAATTGACTTGGAGTATATAATACTTTGTTTAAATATGCTAAAGAATATGAGAATTACAAAATTTATTACTACTCCAACAGTAAAACACAAGTATCTATTATGTATAACAGTAATGCTTCAGAAAAGATAGTGTTTAATAAAACATTACTGATTAGTTATCATCAGATTCATGCACACGTTCATTTGACAACCACATTTTATTCACTAACTGAAGTGCAGCCACGCCAAGTTTTTTTGCCTTAATTATTTTTTATATTTCGACTTTTCACCAAAGGCAAAGTCTAACTATTGATACATATATAATAATTTTATACTTTTTATTTTTTTATAATGTTTTTAATAATTTCTTTAAATGTACACAAGTGTAGGGGAGACCGGGGCTAGTTGTGACACGGGATTAGTTGTCAAACTGCTATTATCTTGCTTACTAAATCTTGGAAAATATTCTTCTTTTCATTGTAAGTTGCTACTAGTTGTGTTAGTAACGTGTACGAAAGAACTTTTATTAAAAACATTATATATGATATTTACGAGCACTTTTGTAAAACTGGATATGGCAAGTAAATTTTTCTGATCTCGATTCTTTAGTAATTTCATTGGTTTTAAAATTTCTAATTGCAATTTTATCTTATGTATAAGAAATATGGTAGTTTTTTGAATAAGTTTTCCTATATTTAT